ATATTTACCACACAATCTGTGAGAAAGTAGAGACCTAAGATGCTCCAGATAAATGGCTCAATTAATTGTACAGAGGTAGACTTCTTTGAGCTGAGCCGGAGCTGTGAGCTCTTTATTAAAAGCACTATTCTGTAGCCCATAACCTTGTTCCTTGACTCCTCTCTGGTTTCCAATTTAAACAAGTCCCCATGCGGCCTGCTCTAAAGGGCTTTGTCTCCCTGTCATTGTTAAGAGAGCTGAGGCATCCTGGAAGTGTGAAATCAGACCTCATGAGTTGAACGGTTCCCCAGGGAACGCTGGACTGCACAGAAGGTCAAAGTCATGGGCCGGACCATCTGAAAGTGTCTGATCGCCGGTCTGTGACACAGCAAGTTGGGGTGGGGTGTGGAGGCTAGACTGAAGAGGACTGAAATTGAACACATCTTAATTAAAGCCCACAGACAGCAAAACAAAATGTTTTCTAGGCAGCCTGTCAAATGGGGCTTAAATTTAGCTCTGCTAATGAATCTGAGCTGCTAACTGTTATTTCTTAAGATAATAAGACTCTCAGGGAAGCTGATAAAAAAACCGTAGCATGTCTTTTTCTGCTGTTTTGTTACTGAAATATTTTCCAACAATGAAGACAGTTTTCCTAAAGAAAAACATGGGAAAAGTCTATGCAAAAAAAGGGGTAGTCAACAGCTCTCTTAAAAACTAGTAGATTTCCAGACTATGGAGCTGGTGAGTTACAAATCTTTATGTGTAGTGTTGTTCTAGAAAAAGATATGCTCATTTAATGGGACTATTTCAATGACAGCTTATGTTAACTGTAAAATTCTCTCCCTCTCTTCCTTTTTTTTCTCTCTCTCCCTCTATTGTTTCCTAAAAGAGATGGTGCATTAATTTGAGAGATCAATTCACCTGGAGTGAAGAAGTTTTATATTAGTGTACCTTTTAATAGAGTGAAAAGGTAGGGCATCTTTTGAAAGGGTTTCACAGTTTCCCATATCAGTGTTTCTGAAACTGAGTGGCTGGTAATCCCTGGGGAGGCTGTGACCTCTTCCTCAGGAGCTCAAAAAAACCCAGGGGAAAATGAATGGGAGGGGCTGAGGAGAAGAACCTTTTTCTTTTTCTTCTCTAAGAACTTGAAAGAACCAATAGGCCAGGTCTAAATACGCTGCAAAGAAAGCCTCACTCAATACAGAAGACTTTAAATGTTCGGCTGAAAGCAAAAATTAGGCCCCATCCAAGGAAGAATAATTAGAAACTAGAAAAGACAAATTCCAACATACATGAACTTTTCCCCACCCCCACCAAAAAAAAAAAAAAAAAAAAAGTCCACCATTGGTCTCTCCTCACAATCTGTCCAGTTTCAGGGAGCACTTGATTCAGTGGTACAATCTTCCCCCAGTGAACACAGGGCCAGACGACCTGCAGGTTTTGCTTTGATGATCCAGAGAGACATTAACCTTTTCACTGGTTACGTGAAAGGTAAGTAAGTTGTACCGTGCAGTATTTTTCAGTTAATCAAACTTTTTCCCTCACGAAGAATTTAGCTGACCAACTTTGAAAACCGGAGTGCCACTTTCTCAGGCTGTGAAAGGCTGCCCACAATTTGACTGAAATTTCAATCCACTCTTGTGCCTCGCTCAATGCATGTGTATGTGTGGGAGTTGTAAATTGAGGCCTTAACCACCAGAGTTAATCTCTTTTTAAAATCTGTATTAACCTTAATGATTTGAAGTGCACTGTCCAACACTGGGCTATTGAGATGGAAGAAAAAACTACCCTCGACTATCAACAGTTTATTAGGGGCTTAACTGAAGTGACCTACTGTAGTAGACTTCAGCTGAACAAGGCTATAGGCTTTTTGTGGAAAGGGAAAGAATTGAGGGTTTCATTAAAAAGTAATTTGTGCTTTATACTCACTCATTCAAAGAGAGTCTCAATTGCTCTTTATTCACACAGAGCTAATACAGTATCACAATGTTTCTCAATGAATGTGTTGTAACAAAAGAAAAATTTTACATTTTGAAAGGAAAAAACTCTTTGTAACTGCAGTAAGATTGATGGCTACTTAAAAGATTATAGAATCTCTTTTTTCTTGTGCTCATGCTAAATGATAGAATATTGTTATTTAAAATTTTTTGCTTAAACTATGGAAGTTTAACTTTATGTTTTAATCATTAAAAATATTTTAAATATAGGGTAAGGTTGGGCAAATATGAGTTTGTGTTGTTGGACTTGTCTGGGAAAGTGTTCAGAAACCTACTAGGTATCTTATAGCTATAGCCTCATTTATATCGGGTCAAAAAATATTCTTTGCTATCAGTGATTTAAAATATCCCCTCTCCATCCACAACAATCCTAAATGGATGCCTATTTGAGCATCTGAAGACGCACCATTGACTCTACTCCCTTCCCTCAAATTGTTGCTGAACATCTTGTAGAGCCTGACTATGATTATCCACTGAGATATAAAACATATTTTTAAAGTTCTTCTTTGAGCAAGTAGGAGATAAAGTATGCAAATAGCTTATTTGTGATAAGCTCAAATTTCATGATACCCAAATTTCATGATAAAGACCAGGAAGGATCAGTATACATATAAATATTTATCCTTTTCAGAAGTAAAGACTTTTTTAAAAGCTTGGTAGACTATTCAGACATTTCTGTCTTAAAAACATGGTCCTCGGTTTCTGCCACCATCACAAATGTCATAAAGACCACAAAAGGTCCAAGAGTGAGCAAGGTCAAAGACTGAATTATCCTCTTGCCCCTGAATAGTTTAACATCTCTCTTATTCAATTCAGAGCACATTAGATTATAAGGTCAGTGAGGAATGAGGAATCATTATGTCCCTAAAACTAGAAGGAAAAAATGGAGAATCTGTTATTTAGTATTCCCCAAATTAAAGTTCATTTTATCAGATCAAAATTATGTCTCACTGAATCCCTAGGGAAAAGGTGATTCTTAGTCACATTAATTTACCTAGAACCATCACGAAAGAAATATATCTGTTTTTTCCAGCTTCAAGAGAACATGTACTTTAACTTGCTTAGTGGCATATAAGCCAACTGGCTTAATGTAGTTTGCATATTCATGAAGTTTCAAAAGCAATGACAGCTTCTCTCCAAGACAGACAAACATATAATTGCATTTAACTTGTGTAATGGGCAAGTATATAAACTTTTGAAGTAAAGGGGACTTGAATTTTTCTATAAGAAATTATTGTGCCCACTATAAATACCCAGTGATAGTTCTGAACACTTAGGTGTTAGGTGCCCTCTGAGATACTTTTTATTTTAGGATTTTCTCCCTATCTTCAGACGTTTTTAGCCCAACACTGGGTGCTCCCCTACCCCGCAGAAAATCCTGAAGAAAAGTGAAGATATTTCCCATGATGGTGAACATCTTGGCCATGAATTCCTGAATCTACCTGCTGCTGGGAATCAAAGGCTGGCCAGAACCTCTGTAGTGTAAAAGCAGCCCTGAGTTCCTGTTCTGGTCTTTAAGTTAATGTCCAAAGTGAACAACAAAAAAAAAGCAGTTAGTCAACCATTCAGTGTTGACTGTTGGTTCTAATAATGAAAGCAGCATAATAATTTAGAAATAATTGCGTCCAGATTAATTTGATTTTAACCACACCAGAAATAAAATACAAAGTGAATAAACTTAGCATTCACTAATTGTTTAGTACAAGGAGCCAAGTCAGTATATTTGCAAAAAGATTACAAACAATCCTCTCTCCCACTATTTTCAGGTATGCCTATTTTGAAATAATATCTGACAGTTGTTATTATCTTCTTGGTTACAAATGAGTTGATAAAATCCTCTTTAAAGAAACTGTAAACTCTCAACATTTTTACTTTTATCATACAGTAAATAGTCATTCAATACTATGCAAACATTAAAAAATTTTAAGTATTGCCATTTTTGAACAGACATCTGCTATTTTAGTTTTAAGGCATGTGAGCTTTTAATTAGGTTTTGATTCTGTTCCATGAATTAAGGGCAGCAGTGATCATGTAATGGGTTTGCAAGCCCTTATATGGTAGGAAAAATACATTTCTCCCCTTCAAATAAGTTAGCTGCCCTTTAAGGGTCAACTTGCTGGCCATTCACAGTGGTAAGCATATTTCCACAAATAATAAGTGGATACTTTCTTTCAGGAACAGGGAAATCTGCACAAAATTGGTCAAATCAGTCCTATTTATTAGCCACCTTGAGATGGACAATTTAAGGAATTGCATAAATACCCCCCGAAGCCTATGAAATTAAAGAATAAGTGAATGCTCACATAGTTGCAAATTCAAAACAATAATTTAATGCTGGTAATTGATGAAATAATTAATTAATCAACATGTCACAGAAACAGCAATATCCAAATCAGGAAGCTTTAAGACATCATACTGAGTTTGGCATTTTTACAGGCCTGCTTCTTGGTTAAAAAAAAATTTAGAACAATGTAGATGTTGAGTTTAGATCCAGAATGATCTCTGGGATGTGCTAGGGAATTTGGACAGCTGAGGAATTGTATCAGCAACCCAAATACCAACAGTTCATACCAAGGAATTGAGTATTATGTATCTAAACTTTTCAGTGAACTATGCAACAGATTTCATGCATGTTTGAATTATTAGTGTTGATGCTACAATATCATCTGAGGGAAGCTGATACTGTCTAAGAGAAAAAGATACAGCATTACTACCCCAAAATGCCAAAATGATGAAACCTGGAAGAAATATAACCACTACGCTGACTAAACCTTGGAGAAGGCAACAATTCAAAAGTTGTTTCCCTTTTTATTGTTTACTTGTTAACATGTTACCCTTCTTTTAAAAAGCAGAGACAGTATAAAAATCAGGTGGATAGCAAATCTTTGTAAGATCAACAAACTTTGTATTATTTACTCTGATGATCGAGTCAGGTGAAATGAAAAGTTCAGTCATCAAATGGTGTACACCTTGCATGCTGCTTGATATAGACTCTTACAAAGGGAAAACTGCATCGGCTCTTACCTGTGACATCAGCGGCCATTAACCCTTCTGCTCTGATCACTTTCACCTGGAGGAATCCCACATCTTTCAGGTTGTGAAATATCCGCAATAGGCTCTGAAAGAACCCAACATCAGTATTAGAAAAGAAAGGTCATAAAGGGTCTCAAAGAGTGCGCTGAGGAAACATTGTTACAGTTGATCTCAGGATGCTGCTTAAGTTATCAAAGGGATATTTGTGTTTCTTCAGTACAGATGACCTTTCCACCATCAAGAATGCATACACACACACACACACACACACACACACACACGCACACACACATTTATGTAGATAATTGTTGCTATATAAGTAGATTTTTTGAAAGAGTAAAAATACCACAACATTTCTCCCCCGTAATTAGCAGTAGATGATGAACAATAAATTATAAAATACGACATGTCTGCATTCTTCCATCAGTCTCCTTTACCAAAGCGCTCCAAGAAATCTTTTATCTGTGGGCATGATCATTTGTAGACTATTGATTCTTAATACTGAATCTTAAGTTGTTGGTTAAGTAACACACTTCAGACTTTGGGAATAAGAAAGACAACATTAAATTAATTATTTTTCTACTCTTTTCTTCTTGGGCAGCTTTGCAAATGGTAGGTGCTAGATAAGGGTTAAATTATTTAAGACTATTTTCTAATATTTGATTCAAAAGACGTATTTCTACCACACACCTTTTAGGTGTTTTTAAAATTTATTTGTTTTATTTTTGCCTTCGAAAATAAATCAAGTTGATTAAAAAATAAATTCAAAAGGGATGAGTAATTTTTCTTAAATTTGTAATTTTGTTTTTTATTGTAGTAGGTATAGAAGTATACAAATTTTGATAGAAGAATCAGATCCAAATGCTGAAACCTATTTAATTTCATAAATTAATAATGGTAGCGTTTGAATAAGCGTATACCAGAAGGAATTAAAAGAGGGATAGCAATAACTCAGAACTCTAATTAACAGACACAAATAGAGAGTAAAATCAACCTATAGAACATGATATGCATTTGTTCATTTATGCTTCATTGCACCTTTCTCGTGACAAGATCAGCACTTTTATTCAGTAAATCAAAGATGCTTCTTTATCATAATCGTTAAAATGCTTTAAAACCGGGAGCATAACATAGTTTTACCTAATAAAGTTATCTATTAAAATGTTACTACGGAACATTCCCATCTTTGCATTGAGAATGTGAGAAGACTGACAAGCACAAGCTTACCGCGATATTAACTTTATCAACCCCATGTGACTAGTCATTGTTTACACTGATGCTCTGACCTTGGCACACTGAGAGGAGGAGACGCAGACAGACGTGTAATCTCAGAGCCTAACTTTTAAAAAAGAGTGTTTAGCACAAGGATTAGCTCTTAATCTTTTATTGTTTTTAAACAGTTGTTTATCACCCAAACTGTGTTGAAACTACGCCGGTGACAGGGTTCAATAAAAATGCACTTCTCTCTCCATTTACATTCCTGTAAATTAAGGGTTTAGAAGTGGAAACTTTAGACTGCAGTATTATAATTCAGAGATTTGTAGGCATGTTGTCTTCCTAAGGTGGTAATGATCAGGTGTGGGAAGCTGCTTCTTATCTCAGAGCTTACTGAGTGCTACAGACCAGGTAAGTCTCCTAATCTAACGATGGAGAAGAGTTTTAGCAAAAAGTTCCTGTCCTTTAATTTTTAGGAGCAATTTAAACTAAGTTTCACTGTGACTAAAACAAATATCTTCAGTCAGAGAATCGTTTTCATACTGGTAACCTCATTGCAGAGTCACACTGCTTCTGGTGCTTCAGCTCCGAAGTTCTGCTTTCCATGTGGAGGGGTAATTATTATTTGAAGGTTTCATTTCCTCGAGTCAGCTGACGCTCAGTAATTTATTGCAAACTTCAACTGCTTAGGCCAGTAACACATGGATTATAATAAGAACATCAAAAAACAGAAAAGCAAAAAATGTAAATATATCCGTTTAAAAATATAACTTTAAGGAATGCTTCATCAAGAGGTATTCCTGCCTTGTTATTTATGGTTATTTTAGAAGGCCTCAAAACCTGAATGGCTTCTGAAGCCAGAAATTTCCATAGCAGAGGAATCTATGATTTGCTGTGCATCCTTTCAGCCCTCAGTAGATGGGAAAAGATTGAAAGGCTCTGGAGAGGAGTCCTCTTTATTTTTTTAATGAAAGGCTGTATAATATATTTTCTCTATGGCTGCAGCAGCTGTCAGGGAGAGCATCTCAGTTCAGCTCTATTACGGGAGAGGCAATACCCCGTCCTATGGCATCGAGATGCTCTGAGGGGCCAGAGCTGATTGACAGCTTGTCACCGTGACGTCTTATTCCATCTCTGTTATGGAGAAAATTAATGTCACACCACCAGGCTTATGACTCGCTGTCATCTTAGAACCGCTCACCTTTTATCAATGCTCTAAATAACATTTCAAGCCTATCGTCTCACGGTGGACAATCCGGTCAAGGGACATTAAATCAGATGACTGTGAAATGTCATAATAAAAATGGAATGCTAACAACTTCTTCTCTAAACTAGCTCCTCTGGTTTTTAAACTGTGACAAGGGGGAGCAAGGGTTCAGCATCCCCGTTCTGAAAAGGTCATACAATCGCTCTTGGTCTACTACCCATTACTACCCGCCCCCTGTTGACCTTCCCTGCTTCCCCACCACCCGCCCCGCAAAAAGAAGAAAAAAAAAAGAAAAATGGAATTAGCCATCTTTTCAGAATGGGGTGATCAAATAATGGCACACACAGTAACGTCTGTTTAATCTGTGGGGCTTCAACGCTTTGCAATGAACAGCTGAATGACAGCAACGGAGAACCTTTTCAGGGCTGTTTCTTATGAGAGTGGGGCAATCCACTTACTCTCCTCACCAGAACCAGAGCGAAATCAAATTCTTAGGTTGAACCTACACTTAAAAAAAATAAATACCCAAGTTCTCACAGGAAAACATATGTATAATTCTCCAAATAAACTCTTTTATATTGTATGTTTCTCCAAAACAAGTGATATTTCAAACATCATACAGTATTCATTCATTTTATAATCTATAGAATAAAAAGGAAACACTCTGAAACCCTAAATCATAGATCTTTGTCCTTGCGTTGCTATGAGTAATCATAATGCATGTGCTATATTGCATACGCTAGCTTCTTAGCAAATATGATTCTAAAGGGAGATACAGGCCTATGCTTGAAATTCAGGGCTTAAAAAAAAGTATATTTAAACTTGGTTCACTTTTTAGTATATTGAGCAGAATATAATCTGAGAATTAGCTGGGACATCCACATAATATTTTACATTTTACTGAAATAATAACTAATATTTGAAAGTAGGTATAGAAACAAATACTCAAATTCTAAATGGAAATGGCTGATTTAAGGAATCCCTTACAGCAAAAAGAAAAAAAAATAATAGTAATTGGATCATTTCTAATTACCTAGCCCGTAGTATCATTCTAATATATGGGATAGTATCAAATATTAATCCATCAAATACAATATTATAATACCTAGAATCATTTTTATATTAATATATGAATTAATTTCTTTAAAATTGTTTTAATTCATGAGTCTCACTTCTGTGAACAGGAGAATATGTCTTGGTGGGTACCAAAATGTGAAATAATTTTCACAACTGCAATTATATATTAGAAGAGGCCACACAATACCTTTGACTCTTAGGTGGTTTAAAAATATATACTATTTAGCCTTGCTAAGTCACCTCTATTAAACTGTTTATGATAACACCATTGGTGGATGAGTTGTACAAGCATTAGCAGACAGCTGATTCAGTGGAGATAGCCAGAATAAATTTGCTGAAGCACACATCCTGCTAATCTGTTTGAAGAATATTGTAGAGCATTAGTACCAGCACTTCATGTTATCTGCACAGCCTGATAAGGTACGTCTTTATTAAATTCAGTTATTGGAAGGATGTCAGTCAGCAAATAGGAATATTTTTAAATCTAAAAAAAAAAAAGAAAATTAAGCGGTTCTTTGTTAGTCAGAGCTTGGTTTCATGACTGAGTGTCTAGAGGAGCCTTCTAAACACCTGGCAGCATTGTACAATACACGCTTTGTAATTTTAAGTGCAAAAGCTTTTCTTTTTTCTTCCAGCTTCACGGGTACCCAGACATTGACTTTCTCCAGGCTTCACTAAGAGAGAACAATGGAGTAAGAGCTCCCCTCTCTGTTGATTCAAGAAAACTACATGGTGAGAAATGCAGACCGTGAGGATGCTGGGAAATAGGTAGATTTGGTTGTGAATGTTTGGGTTTGATAAAATTTGAGAAGGGTACTTATTTTAGTGACTCAGTATGCCGCCCTATCACTCTACATCTGATCGGAAGGTAAGAAAGCTTCCTTTTCATTATATTTCACATTCGATTTTTAAAAATTAAAGGAATGAAGTGAGGCTTTTCTAAGCAGTTGAAAGGAAAAGTTATTTCTGTGAATATCCTCCAGTAACCAACCTACTAATTAAAAAGTAGGTGCAGTTAACTCCATTTCAAATTTGTAAAGACAAGGAAATCTTAATTCCAACGACAAATAATCAATGAACTCATTTTAAAGTATTATATAAACTCAACTTTCCATTACAGGAAGTTTCCCTGCATGATAATTTTGTGGTGTGATAAAATTACTGAGGAGAATCTCAGAATCTAGAACTTGCTCTGGAAGAGAGTCGAGAGAAGACCAGATGTCTAGATATCCATGGGTACCCCAAGTGCTTCTGCAAAGATATCCACGGTATTTGCATCTGCCTAGCCTTCTGCTTCTGCTGATTCATCTGTCAGACAGCTTTGCAGATGTACTTCTATCACTCCATGTAAATTATTTACAACCTCTTCTAGTCACCCATGACCCTGAAGGAGGAGGCTTACATACGTACATATCTCTTTAATATTTCCTCGCGTTCTTTTGGGTCCTCCAGGGAGTTGATGGAGAGGTCAGAGATGCTGACTGTGGCCGAAGCTGTCAGGGTGACCAGCAACACCAGGTGCCCCTCCCCTTCCTCCAGCTGCAATTCTAGCTTGTGTGTCTGTTCCCTACTGAGAGCCGACAGGTCGATCTGGCACCTAAAAAGAAATGTTTTGAATTAGCAAAAGGCTTTTTTTTTTTTTTTTTGCCACATCAAACAGTGGAGGTGCAGGCTGCTCAGAGCTATGTGAAAAATAAATCAATGGAAATACCATTTGGACCACTGGAAGCATATGTATTTCATGTCAGCTGACTTCACAAAATTCAGACTCTGATTATTTTAGTATCTAATTGCTTATTTCTTGTAAGATGCAAAAAATGTGCTTTTCTGATTTGATTATTACCCACTATCACCATATTTATAAATCAGTAGGGGCTTTCAGTCCCTAGATGGCCCAGATCAGTGGGGCTTTGCTTACAGAGAGACTAACATGAGCTGTCTAAAGAGGCAAACTACCAAGAGTGAATTTTTATGTCACTCTAAAACAATAGGTGTTTTGCCCTCGTTCTGAAATGTTATTAAGCAGAGAATAGACCATTTACTATGATGATGCCATATGTTTTACATTTTTAAAACCATGCCAATTTATTCACAGAACACTGCATAAATCTAAGTTAACAAACAAACAAATCCTCTGAAAACATTATAGCTGAAGTGTTACGTACAAGAGTTGCCTGAAGAGAGACTTTGTAATAGTATGGCAACCCATGCTCGATATATCACCTCCTCAGAGCTGAACACTTTGCAGACTCTTTTCATAAAAATGTCAATTGATTTGGAAGAGAAAGATACTGTGGTGACCAAAATCACAAGGGCAATAAACAGAGAGAAAGGGGGCAGACATGAATAAAAGACATTTGAAACAGGAAATAGCCAATTATAAGAATAGATGTGGTATCGTCATAAACAAGGGGTGGTCAGCTATTAGGGACAGATTAAATTTTTGCCCCTTCTTATTCTTCACTCTATTTATTGTTTATTATTTTGCTTTTAAGTTAAACATCTGTGAATAGGGCCTCAAAGCTTATGGTTGAGTTCAAACATCTTTAGTGAGAGTGATTTTAGAAACTGAATCAAAGTCTGACATTTATGTTTTATTTTTGCCTATCAAAAATGACATGAAAGATAGCCAGACTAGGAACAATTGAGAGAAAGAGGAATATAGATGCAAGAAATGAAGAAGAATAGAAACGTCCTGGTCAGTGATAGAAAATCTGCATGCACTAAATGCTAACTATCGAGACAGCAGGAAATTAGGGTCTGTACTAAGTCAGGAAAACATCTTCCTAAAGTTAGGATGTATATCAAGTAACCTCACTGTTTCTGCAAACACAATATCCATTTCAAAATACTCTCATGCTGTCCCCTTAGATTCTAAATGATGAAAAAACAGATCAAATGCCTTATTTAATATTCAAATTTTAATTGGAATTAGTTCTTAATAATACCTGGAACAAATTTAGGGTTAAAAAATGCAATGGTGAAGAACAGCTAATCAAATGCATTCTCTAATAAAAAGGAGAAACATGAATATGATTTTCTACAGATCTTTCCAGCATCTGGCACAGTGCCTAACCTATAATTTGTTGAATGTGAATGAATCTTTGGACTAGATTGAGAGTATAACACTGGAGAATTGAACAGGGATGACAGTTCAGATAGTACTTTTGGTTAGTTAACTTGGGACCAAGAAAGGTATTTCACTCGCTCTGATCATGCATTTCCAGTCCTGCTCATGCCCTATTCCTATGTATGATACTGCATCACTCTTAAAACACACTGAAACCTTCTGGAGGATTTCCTTTTATGCCTATTACCATTAAGTGCTGGTCATTTAGGTGTTGGCCTTCCTCCTCTTTTATATAGATTAGAGTCATTGCACTTAATTCTTTAGAGTTGGGGAAGGTGTTCTAAAGATGCAGTCCAGGAACTGCAAACTGGCCACTCTCAGATCAAAGCTGGTCCATAGATTTGTTGTTTTTATTGTGCTAAAAACGTTTTGAATTTAAATAACTTTAAAGAGAGAGCAAATGTCCTCTGAGTTATTGTCCCCAATACTGTCTAACTTACAGCTGGACTATTTCACTTAATTCTGTACCCAGTGCCAATAGGCATAAGGATTTGTGATCCTCAAAGTCTCCTTAATTTACCAATGAGGAAACTGAGGGCCAGAGAAGTCACATGAATCAATGGAGATACACAGTTAGTTATTAGCAGAGCCAGACCTGAACCTAGCACTCTGGAATCTAAGATCTAGGCTTTTTCCTTAACCAGTCTGTCATTGCTGTAATTGTGCATCCTGGAGGAATGTGCTATGTGAGGCAGCTCTTAAATGGGGTGATATCCAGACTTGTTTTTTTGTTGTTTTGTCTTGTTTTGTTTTTGCGGTACGCGGGCCTCTCACTGCTGTGGCCTCTCCCGCTGTGGAGCACAGGCTCCGGACGCGCAGGCTCAGCGGCCACAGCTCACGGGCCCAGCCGCTCCGCGGCACGTGGGATCCTCCCGGGCTGGGGCACGAACCCGCATCCCCTGCATCGACAGGCGGACTCCCAACCACTGCGCCACCTGGGAAACCCCTCCAGACTTGTTTTGAACAGGACACATTAACTCCGGTTTCAAGTACAGAAGCGTGTTATTTTTATGCTTTAAAAATATGTATGAACTAGGAAGAATGCTGTAAGTAATTGCTCTTAGAAGACGATAAACTAAGAAAAAATTACAAATTGAATTTTAAAAGCTATGGAACTAAAAAAATTTAAATTACCATTGTACATCTATAGGAAGGATTATACCTTTCTGCTGCAACTAAATTTTCAATATTGGGTACACTCGTAGAAACAGTCCCAGGTTCTGTCCTATATTTAATGGTTCAGAATTTTGACTATAATCATTCTAATATAGAAAATGCCTATGTATACAAATATTTTGAAAAGAGAGCATTAATGAATTCAAGATGCTTTTTGCTAGTTGAGGTTACTCAGATCTCCTATTCATCTAAAAACTCTGCTGAGGAGTAATCCTCAGATGCCATTTAAAGCAAAATGTCACCTGATAACCAAGCAAAATTGTCCTATTAACTTCAGGATAAAGTCAGCATTACAGCATCACTGATATCTGCATTAAATGGGTATCGGATCAGATTATTGCTGGAATTTGGTGGAGAAAAAGCTTTTGCTATTCCTTTGTTGTTATTGAATAAATATGAACAAAGATGGAACTCCTGCAACATACTGTATTGCAAAGTGAATTCAGGACTAATTACTAGGGGCCAGTGCTATGGTTTGAATGTTTGTGTACTCTCCAAAATTCATATGTTGAAACCTAGTGCCCAATGTGATGATATTAAGAAGTGGGGTGGTTGGGAAGTGATTAGGTCATGAGAGTGGAGCCCTCATGAATGGGATTAGTGCCCTTATAAAAAAAGGCACAAGAGAGATCCCTCACCCCTTCTGTCATGTGAGGACACAGAAGAAAACAGCAGTTTATGAACCATGAAACCAGACACCAAATCTGCTTTTGTCTTGATCTTGGACTTCTCAACCCCCAGAACTGTGAAAAATAAATTTCTGTTGAATTCCATCCACCCAGTCTATGGTGTTCGGTTATAGCAGTCCAACAGGCAGATTCACCCGTACCTGGCTTACCTGTACTATTATGTTCTCAACAAAGGAAGGATTCACTATAGTTTGGTTACAGAAATACTAGGTGATCATTCAGATGGTTCAGAATAAGCAAAAATTGATGGTTTTATATTGTTATGAAAATGAAAAGGCAAATTTTTAAAAGTATTGAAGCAAGTTCATGAACTCCAAAAATATATACACAGACACATTCACAGGGGAAAGAGCCCGAGACTGGGCATCAGATTCCCTTGGTTCTAGCCTTCCATCTGTCACTAATTAGTTGGATGACTTTTCCAAGACAACTTAGCCCCTGGAATTCCAGGTTTCTCATCTGTGATATGAGGGAATTGAACTAGATGAACTTCAAATTCTCAAAAACCTCAAATTCCACAATTTATTATAACTCTATCCATGTTTACCCTTATTTACATCTTCCTTTCTTTGCAATTCCACAGACCAATAAAATGGTAAGAGAACAAATTCATCTTACAGGCAATGAAATATTATTCCTCAGATGTATTACGCCTCTACCCTGCTGAAAAAAGTCTGAATGCTGGTGCCAGAAGGCAGACAATCTAACCTAATATCAAATTGTCTTCTAAGGAGCACTGGGAGGGGGTGCATCCAGGTCACCATGCATGGAGTGAAAAAGGGAGTGTGGATTCTCCTCTTTTGTTCAAAGAACAGCTCCCCTTACATCTGCTTTATATCTGGGTTCCACAAGGAACTCCTGGGTCCTCAGCTGCCTGCTTTGCCTCAGCCTCGACTTTGGCTGGGTCTTTCCAAGGGGCTGGTCTTCATCCTACCACTGTGACCATACAGCTGGGCTTGAGTCCTCATAGGTCTTCCACCTGGGGCTGGCCTAGGACTGTCCTAACTTTCACTTGCCCAAATGGGCTGAGCACTCTGCTTGGCTGCCACTGTGCATCTAGGCCCAACTGCCACATGCCCCAAATTTCTGGCTTCTAAGGCCACTTCTGCACTTGGATATAAAGCCACACCGTGGAGTATGGGATCTGGCTTCCTGATCAACTGCCAAAGAAACCAGATGAAACAATGCAGAAGTTTTCTCCTTATGGGGTGAACTTAGATCAATGGCATAGGTGATGGGAAGATAACTCCCCATGCCTTCCACCCTCTCACAAACCATTCCAAAGCAGGATTCTCCATATTGCCTATCCACATGTGGCCAAGTGGGCACACCTGCTGGGCAACCACTGTGTCTCTGAAACACAGGGAACATGGCCAGCCCAGTAACTTATCACCGTGCATTACTTCCTAGTCTTCCCTGCCTCATGTTCTTTCTCTCTCACTCTCAGGACCTGGGATTGTACCTCCCAATTAAGTATCAGCACCTAATCCCTGCCTCAAGCTCTGTTTCCTAGGGAACCTGGTCGAAGGCAAAAATTATTGGTACCATTTAATCCCCACAGTTACAGATGTCCAAAACTCAAACCTGACCATGTCCCACTCC